CTCCCAGTTGTTAAATCCTCAGTCCAGTAACACTCAAGCAATATTTGACCACCTTTACACAAACACTTTTCGCACCAAGCCAAAACCAAATAAACCCTCTTCATCAAACAAACTCATTCCTGAACTTACCCTATCACTTGATTAAAACTTGCCAAGCTGAGCTTGGTGGGTCTTGTTATCTGATAGTATAGAAAGGCAGAGCTTACACTCCATCATCCCCTTCTCCATTCAGCAAAAAGGGTCTTACAACCATTTTTTGAGTCTTACAGCGTAAATTGCTGTCTTTCTTTTGGGTGAACAGCAGTGGTGCTGCCCAAGGCAAAGTGGTTTGTCTGATGGTGCTGTTCTCAAGTCCTTCAGTGATAAGGGTGTCCAGTGCCTGGTTTTCAGCGGGTGACAGAGGGATAATTCTGCTTGCTTGGGGGAGTGCCCCTGTTACCAGCAACACTGCAGCAGATATGAGACATGTATTTGTATTGTCTCGTATTTGCTTTATTTTAAGCCTGATACATGGTATTTGTATTTCCTTGGTTGGTAAGAAAATCCACTGTCTTGCATTTGGAATTACAAATGCAAAAAAAATTGTTTTTTTTTCTTTTTCTTTTTGTTCAATACGGCCAAATATCATGTGTATCAAAGACATTTCTGGTGGGATCATCCCTCTGAGACAATACAGGATACATGTCTCACTTTCCAAAGACGTATATGTGTATTGTCTCGGGAAAGTGAGACAACACAAATATGGTATTTTTGGGTATCCAAATTCTCAGAAAATACAAATAAACACTTGATACCGTCTTGTCTTGTCTCTTTTTCAGCGTTGGTACCAGGTTCACACGGAAGTTGTAGATTTTCCTAGGCAGCAGTTTCTGGGCGCTGGATTTGCAGAACATGTTGATATACCAGTGATAATGTGTTGGGACTAGTTTTTCTGCCATCTTTGCTGGGGTCTTGGCCTTGTTGTTGGCTGCGATTTGGGCCAACATTGACCAAGATGCTTTGGTGGCGCTGACATCTACGGTTGGCACAAGTTCTAGGAGGGGAAGAGGCTTGCCAGCTGTTTCCATAGAAATTGTGGAGGGGGACGTATCAAACTCACATTGCGGGGGTGTTAATGTCTCATGCTAAAAGTTCCACACCGGCTGGGAGGAAATCCTTCCAGTCGATGAGGTAAAGGGTTTCCTTCCAGCCAAAGAGGTATGTACCACCTGCAGGCAAGAGATTTGGATTATTACAAGAAATAGAGGAACCAACTGAAAGATGGGGTGTCATAAATATGGACTTTGTGACAGGTCTACCCCTTGGAGGTCCCAATAATTATAATGCTGTTTTAGTAGTGGTAGATAGGTCCTCTAAAAGATGTAGATTTTTGACATGTCACAAAGAAGAGACAGCAATGGATACTGCACTTTTTTTCTGGAACAATATAATTTATGACGTTGGCTGTCCAAGATATATCATCACAGATAGAGATCCAAAATTTACATCAGAATTCTGGAAAAATTTGTATGACATTTGTGGGACTGAGTTGAAATTTTCTACAGCATATCACCCTCAGACAGATGGGTTAGCAGAAAGGATGATTTAAACTTCAGAACATATGATTAGAAGATATTGTGCATTTGGATTGACCTTCAAAGATAGAGATAAATTTACACATGATTGGATAAAATTACTTCCAGTTGTAGAATTTGCATATTATCCCAGCAAACACAGTACTACAAATAAATCACCTTTTGAACTAGAAAAGGGATGGAATCCTTGGTTTCCCAGAGATGTTATTATGAGTAAGTCTATTCACATACATCCAAACTCAGAAAACTTTCACCAAATGATGACAAAAGCTGAAAGATTTGCAGCTAATGTGTGAAAGAAGCAGTAATTATAATAAGTATAGATGGGATAGAACTCATAAAGAAAAAAAATTAAGTAGGAGATCTAGTTTTGATTTCAACATACAATTCTACAAATCTAGGTGGACCTGAGAAATTGAGAGATTCATTTGTAGAACCATTTGAGATTGGAAAACTACATAGGAAGAATTCAATAGAAGTGTATTTATCAGGGGAGCTTGAGAAAAAACATCCTACATTTCCAGTAAGCTTGGTAAAACCATATCAAGAGAATGATGTTCAAAAATTCCCTTTAAGGCAGAAGGAAAAATTAAAAGACACAATACCAGTAGATGAACCAGAAATATCCAAATTAAAAAAGATTATTCAACATAGGAAAATTAGAGTTAATAACCAAGACATTATTCAATATCTAGTGAGATACAGTGGAAGTAAAGAAAATGAATGGCTTACTGAGAAAGAAATACCAGAAAACCAGAAATTGTTCAGACAACATACAGCCAAACCGGGAAAGCTTGCGTCTTGGTTGGCAGAAGATTCAGAAAAAAATAAAAAAAATCCCGACTGCAGTAGGAATCTTTGGAAGAATACAGCCATTGTACAGGCTCCAAAATACCTGCTGGTAGCACCCACAGGACCGCACCGGACCCAACCAGCCAGCCCTATGGGGGGCAGGGGCATGAGTTGCTTGCCAGTCCTGGGTCGGTCTGACTAACTTTTCTCTCAGGATCTCAATGGTCTTACTCTCATGACCTGGAAACTGAGGGGAAAAAGGATAGGGAGTTTATCCCTGAATCAATACCTGTATG